ATACTGTTGTATCTCCGTATTTGTTTTTTTATCTGTGGCCCACGCACTGACTATATACAGTCTGTCTCAATCGGGATCAGGCCGAACCGTTGGCGTAAACTGCGCGCTCAACGCTAGGTTTCGCGCCGCATATGCACAATGTCGGAGAGAGCGAATATATCGAAGAGAGGGCAGACAAGATTTTGACATTCGAAGCCATGTGTTTCTATCTCTCGGTGCAAACATCTTTGATCTTCTAACCTGTCGTCTATGGCTGCATCCACGTTTCAGGTGCAAAAATCGTATTCAACTGATTTTTGCGTTGCTCATCATGTTTGTGGTTTTTCTCGAAAACGTTTTGCTTCGCGAGAAGTTTAATCTGATGTTTTTATGTTCATCTATCGTCTGTTTTTTCTCAAAATATGACCGGCTCATCAATGTTTCGTCAGCATATTTCAGATAGATTTCATGTTTTGATGGGAGAAAGTTTAGGGTGTGCGCTGCCTTCAAGAATATTGTTGCGTTTTTGTATAACGCTGTAGCGGTACGTGATTTTCACATTTTTTCGGCAATTCTTGAAGGCAGCGTACACCCAAAATCCAGCTACTCAAATGGCTTGTAGCTATAAACAAAAAGAATTTACAATCTTGATTTTCTGAGTCAAAGGGCGCTTAGTATTATCACTCCTCAAAAGCGTCCCTTTTTAAGCAACTCTTTGATGGTCTTCTAAAGGCCTAGTTCTTCTCTGCAGTCACTGATGTACACTCTTCACAGGCTCCCAAACCTTTCAGAAGCCAATAGTCTTTTATTGGGTCCTCCGCGACGGGCTAGTTACAACTTGTTATGAGCTCCTTCAACCTATCGCCGTCGAAAACGACTTCCTTGCGACGCTATGGCAGATCTTGTTTTCCAGTTTCGACTAATTCTTTGAAAGAGACGATAATTGGAGCCACTGCAAGAAGATGAACTATACAAACATCAACCAAGCTCCATCTTTGATTGGTGAGACATCGAAATGTGTCATACCGTTGGGCGATTCTAAGTTCACCAACTTTTTTTTCTTCTCAAAGATAAAATTTCTGTGAAAAAGTCGTACTTAACTAGATATTGCCGTTTTTTCGGAACCCATATCCAAACTTCCCGACCCTATATCATGATGGCATCCCAATTTTCGCGTTGAAGCCGCCCACAACAAACTTGTAAAAAGACTTTTTGTTGCGGAATCTTCTCCATGTCTTCGTAAAAAGCATCAAATTCTGATAGCGCTGCTGTGGGCGAACAGCTGTGGATGATATTGATAGTTTTCTGGAAGTGGAAGAGGAAGACGTAGAATGACAAATCGAGGTGATGAGATCTCACGCGAATCGACAAGATGGAAGATGAGCAGGAAAAGACAGCTAGCGCCTCAACTTTTCGTGATGAAACACCGCATATGATGAGATCATATTTCTCATCTGTCGGTCGTCTTTCTTCCTAGTCCTCGTTTCCCGCAAAGTGCGGCGGAGGTCGGCGTTTGTGGATATATGGAACTAGCTGGCTTACCCGGCTCCGCCGTATGTTCCGAATAGAAAATTCCATTTCTTAACCGATCCGGACCAAACTTGGCACACATACCCTTCGGGCCCCGGCGGGTGTCACAGTCCACTTTTCGTTATCGATCGATGTCGATTTTATCGATTTTTTGCAAAATTTGAGCTAGGGGGCTGGAATTTGGCAGGGGGTGTAATCGAGCATGCTGATCACCCCCACGGGGGTGATCAGCATGCTCGATTACCACCCTGTGCCAAATCCCAGCCCCGTAGCTCAAACTTTGCAAAAAAATCGATAAAATCGATAAAAGTAATGCACGATTTTAAAAACTAATATTGTATTTGGAATCCCCATGCTCACTTACCCCCCTGTGCCAACTCCTAGCCCCGTAGCTCAAATTTTGCAAAAAATCGATAAAATCGATATCGATCGATACGAAAAGTAGCCTATGATACCCGCCGGGGCCCGAAGTGTATGTGTGCCAAGTTTGGTCCGGATCGGTTCAGAAATGGAATTTTCTATTCGGAACATACGTACACACATACATACAGACAGACAGACAGACAGACATACATACATACAAACAGACATTCAGCTTTATATATAAGATGGAATGAAACGGAATAAAATGAAAAACCAATCTGAAAGATTCGAGCTTTATGCGCGTTCTCAATGCTCTAGTATTTGTTTTGGATGATTATTTTCCAAGGCTACCCTAATTTCACAAGTACAAGGCACAGACTTGTTTGAATTGCCAGCTCAAACACGCTAACGGAATTAGCAAACCAAGCAAACCAAAGATCCTTTACAGTGTTCCGCAATACCTGAGGGAATGTGCAGCACAGCATTTTTCGCGAGGCACAGGAAAACGAAGTTGCTCCCGTAAAAAAAATCAAAAGGTGCTCTTTGAACTCGTGAATTAGGGTAAATGCTCTATGTCGGAAGTCCGTGACTACATCGTAGCATAGTTTCACCGAAAGAAGAAAACGCATTGCCTACATCTAATATAAAAGCTGAACCTATCTAAGGAAGAAATGTGAAAAAATCTTTTTCTGTTAATGTCCATATGAAAGTAGGAGGTACTCTGCGCATGTGTTCTTAGTGGCTAAGCAACGCAAAAGCGGCTGCTGGCTACATGAACTACAACTGGCACGGTCCAAGGGCACCCCCTTAGGGTCCATTCTGCAATTACCTAATCCATCACTGCCGGAATTTTCCGTACAACACTATGGTATTATTATGAAAAATTGTTTTATTCAAAAACTAGCTGGCTTACCCGGCTCCGCCGTATCCGGACCAAACTTGGCACACATACATTTCGGGCCCCGGCGGGTGTCACAGTCCACTTTTCGTTATCGATCGATGTCGATTTTACCGATTTTTATCGTTTTCTTTGCAGAGTTCACCTACAGGGCTAGGAGTTGGCACAGGGGGGAAGTGAGCATGGGGATTCCGAATACAATATTAGTTTTCAGAATTATCTATTACTTTTATTGATTTTATCGATTTTTTGTAAATTTTGACATGCGGGGCTGGGATTTTGCACAGGGGGGTAATCGAGCATGCTGATTACGAACACAATATTAGTTTTCAGGATCGTCCATTACTTTTATCCATTTTATCGATTTTTTTGTAAAGTTTGACCTGCGGGGCTGGGAGTTTGCACAGGGGGTAATCGAGCATGCAGATTACGAATACAATATTAGTTTTCAAGATCGTCCATTACTTTTATCGATTTTATCGATTTTTTGAAAATTTGAGCTAGGGGGCTAGAATTTGGCACAGGGGTGTAATCGAGCATGCTGATCACCCCCCTTGGGGATGATCAGCATGCTCGATTACCCCCCTGTGCCAACTCCCAGCCCCCTAGCTCAAACTTTGCAAAAATCGATAAAATGGATAAAAGTAATGGACGATCCTGAAAACTAATATTGTGTTCGTAATCAGCATGCTCGATTACCCCCCTGTGCAAAATCCCAGCCTCGCATGTCAAAATTTACAAAAAATCGATAAAATCAATAAAAGTAATAGATAATTCTGAAAACTAATATTGTATTCGGAATCCCCATGCTCGATTACCTCCCTGTGCCAACTCCCAGCCCCGTAGGTGAACTCAGCAAAAAAATCGATAAAAATCGATAAAATCGATATCGATCGATGACGAAAAGTAGCCTATGACACCCGCCGGGGCCCGTAGTGTATGTGTGCCAAGTTTGGTCCGGATCGGTTCAGAAATGGAATTTTCTATTCGGAACATACGTACACACAGACATACAGACATACATACAAACAGACATTCAGCTTTATATACAGGGTGTCCCAAAAGTCTTTGAGCCTAGTATTTCCTCCGCTGAAAATGCATGAAGCAACATAGAAGCATGAAATTCAGCAGGGAATTTGCGAAGAGGCTACAAAACAACATGATACACTCAGATTTCTCAAAACCCTCCTTTGGCCTTTACACAGGCTCTCAGACACTTGCGGAATGCATGCACCATGGCAGCCAGGTAGTTGACATCGACATTGTCTCACATCTTCTGAAGCAAGCAATCCAGACTGTCCAAAATTTAGCATGGAATAGAGCAAACTTTGTTTTCCATTACTGATCACAAATAAAAGTCAAGGGCCTCTTGACCCGGCTATTGAAGGCACGTAAATCTGAGAAGCATAACTGTGAGATTTGACAAAAGTGTCAAAATGTAGCATTCAAGTGTTTGAGAACACCAAGAAAACAGCCATTATGGTGTACCGGGAGTGACTTTAAAGTGGTATTTCAGTAGGAAATGCAGGGCTTACAGCTAGAATTAGTCACTGAATCTGACTCGGTGCTGGACTTTCCAGCTTTTCCAGGTTTTTGTTTCCGAGAACTTTTCCTTCTCATTGGCACGGCACAACTTCAGTGTTTGTATCCTAATCCTACTCTAACGAACGAAGGCTATTGATTGATTTTGCATTGTAAATGTAGAGTGAAGCTAGCTCTACAATATGCAGTTTGAAATTCCATAAGAGCTCCAAAGGCAAAAGAGCTGTAAATGTTTGAATAGAAGGTGCGTTTCCTTCGGCTTGTCTTCACGATTGTAGTATTGTTCGCTTCAAGAAGTATATCTCGAGAATGTACGCTGTAAACGGTATGATTTTCTTGACGAATATTGGCAACTAGACGAAGAACTCAAAGGCAAAATTTGGCTGAAAAGCGAGTAATACTAACAAAGTTACTACGTTGAAAAGTTAGGCTTAAGGACTTTTGGGACACCCTGTATAAGATACAAAACTTTATATAACACAGAAAGCGTTAGTATGCGTGATAAGTTGAATCTGTGTGCATTGAATAGTGATTATTTGCATTTTGGCAGCATGCAGTCGCAGGTCTGAAGTGGAGAATTGAAGAAGCACCTGTCTTTGTTAAAACAGAATTTGTTTTGGAGCTGATGTTATTATCCGATGGCGCACCTCGTATTTATCGTATCAAAGCCCACTCTTCCCAGTTTCAGGTGTTCTCTGACTACGGACCGATGGGAGTATCAAACCCGAAAGCACTTGTTTCTAAAGATACTTCTCTTCATAATGCTACAGTTGTGGTGACACATGCCATCGGACCCAGTATATCTTTCACAGCTCCAGATTCGAGCAACTATACTACTTACACGTGAGTATCTAGTAAGCTCACAGCGTTTTTTTGCTATCATTTTCTCAATTGCAGCGTGTTTAAAGAGTTTAAGCCTTGTACGCGAACGACCTACATGTGATGAACGTGGAACTGCTAAAGTGCTTCCAGAATAACAAAGTCTCTTTTGAATTCAGTTTGAAGAGTCATAAAAGCATGACACTTAGGCCCCCACCCCCACAAATGCATACAAATTTGTGCAAGCATTGTACATAAAAACAGCTAAATCCTAAATTTCTAAGAACAACCTGCAAAAATAAAATCATTGAATTGAGTGGACAACGAACAAGGTCTCGCGCGGAAATTGAATGATGCGATTTCGTTAATTATTCTTTCCGCAAGTGCTTAGAGTATATTGACTTGCCTGCAAATTAGAAATTGATTTACAGTGTCTCACAAATGCAGCCATTTCGACAGAGCAACTACAAGGACATGTGCTGGGAAACGCAAATTGGACAGGTATGCAGTCAGTGAAAACAATAAAAAAAAATCAAGCAGTTTCTCATAAGCACCGTATTACTCTCAGCCTGTTTTCGAAATAATTTACTGTCCAACCTACTGTACTTTCTTTTTCTACCGAATTTATTCCAAGACTTTGATAACAAGAGCGGACGGCCCTTCTCCAAAGTATTGTCTAAAAACAATGGTTTTTGATATGGATTTAGTAATAATTCATTTGTGTTTTCTTTTGTTTTGTATGTCACAGGTTTGCTGAGGCGGTATTTATTCGTACTGGCCTAACGAAGCGTTGTTGTTCTCAGAGGCCTAAAAAAAAGTCGATGCATTATCCGCAAAAAAACAATCCATCAGATGCCTCCTTCCTCAACTAGTTGCAACATTCCTTTAGATTCACACCGAAGAGATTCATTCCCACAACGGAAATGAATCCACTGTGATACCACTGCTAATGAGTCAGTCACGGAATCACAGACTGAAAAGATGGCGGAAAAAAGACCAGTAAGTAATACTTAAGAAGGCAGATAGAAAAGCTATCCGTCATCTAAACCTTACCATTGACATATTCGGCAAGGAGTCGGCAATAATGGCCAAATACTCATTTTTCTTACGAATTTCTGGTTTTTTGGCAAAAATCCAAAAAGCTTCTAATCCCTTTCTAACTTGGATCTAGGTTGCGCAAAAAAATCTTGCCTTTGATTTCAAAGTCATTTCCACTATGCGAGTAGTTGCTTACCTAACGGTGTTATCAAGCTTTTACGTCTTATGCTTGCAATTTTCAAGCGCACACTCAAAACTCTGTCGGTCTCTAATATACAGTGCGTCACAGTAAGGCACTCTAGTTGATAAACAACTCCTACTTTTGCGCACTTCCTCTCTGTTACAAGAGCACACAATGCACTGTTCACTTATACATTTTCAGTCTTAAGCCAATTTCGGACGGGTTGCCTTTTAACGTTGTCATGTGGTATCTCTTATCTGTTATCTAGACCTCACGTAGTGTCATATGCTCTAATACTAAGCATAGGTGCGATAGGGGAAGCCGGGCTCTCTCCAGGTGAAGGGGGTCTCGGCTGTTCCCGACCTTCCAGGGTGAAGGGGGTATGTGAGTCTAGGGGGAGGGGGAGGAAGAGAAAAAAGGTAAAAAAGCGTGGTATGAAGAGCTCTAATTTGTATCTTGTTAAGGCACAAATTTGAAAAAAAATTAAAAAATTTTAAAAGAAATGAAAAATAAAAAAAATTGACTTTATGAAGATCTGAGCTCATGTTTCACTGCATCAACAAAAAACGAAAACAATAAGGTTTATCCCAATAGAACAAGTTAGAAACAACTTCAAATCCTGCACATCATCATCAACAATATCACTATCGCTAACGCCAGAGACAACAAGTTCGCTGCCTGAAAAATCTTCTTCTTCCTCCGAAAGGTCATCGGAGTAGAAGTAGAATTGCGTGCAAAAGCGTTCTGAGTCGAAAATGGATTTGAAACTTTCTTCTTCTTCTAAGCGCTTTTGCGATTTTTTTCCTGACCATCTGGTAGCAAAAGGAAAGTCAGCAGGTAGGTGACCAATTTCTTCATACCATCTTTTAGGATATTTCAAAAGCCTGTCTGGACCACTTACACCAATCCTTTGAATGAAGTTTTTAGATAACAATATGTTTCGTAGAAGGTTGACAAACCTTAAGTAATTGCTTAAATGCTCCATCGTTGTACGACTTCTGCGTTGTGTTCTGAAAGAGTAGATAGAAAATTTCTTTCTCCACCTTTGCCGTGCTAGTCGGAATGGAAACTAGCTTTGCCAGTAAGTCCATCAGATTTTTGCGGTAAGTAATGGGAAAAGAGCCAAAAAAATCGAATATGCTTTCGCAACAAGGGAAGTAAATATTTCATACTTTTTTGGGCCTTGTCGAACTCTGGCTTCACCTCCTCTGGCATACGTCCTGTTAGCTGATGAGAAAGCTGCTCAACTTCTTCTTTAACAGCATCTGCGGAATAGCCGAAAAAAGTAGATATGCTGCGCGTTGTTGTTTTTTTCAATATCATAGGTCATAATGTAACTTCTAAAAGCATAAAGCACAGAGTTGGGTTTGCACTCCAGTCGGGATCTAAGAGCAGCAGCTATGCTTTGTACTAACACCTTCCTTTTGTTCATATCCATGTTTGTGAATTTAGCAGCCTTGAAATCTTCAGCAACCTGAAGATCAGCAATGGACTTCCTGGACATTTCCTCATTGAAACTAGGCAATCCGCTTGGATTCCTTATGTAGGAAATTAGAGATTTTCGCTCAATTGTCAACTCTGTATCAGTGTCAACAACATTTTCGTCGGCGTAAAATTCTCCTTCTGCCTCGCTGTGGAACTGGAACACATGCGGGTCATCAGCGATTTTGTAAAGTATTCTGCCTGCCGTTTCCTCTTCAAACTGCCAACCTTTCCAAAACATTGAGGGATATTTTAATAACAAGCTATTCTTCTGAATGTCTTAAAGTTTTGATTCATTGAAACAACCATTCTCTACAAATTAGGTAAGGTGAGTCTAGAGCGTTTTCACGAAAATGACCTTCTTCAGCACTAGGTTTACAGAGTATAGATTCCAGAAATGGGCGGGTTTTTGTGTGAAGATGTGGAAATTCACCAGTCTCCCATAGTTTTTTGAGTGTGTGCTAATAATGATGGCATAACTGTCAATCAAAAGCGCATTTTTTACCAAAAAAACATGAACATATAACAACGATAGCACGCTTAAATAGACGCGTTCGCTCACGTTCCCGTTAGTGCTGATAACGATGTCAATCCACAGCACATTTTTTATTATTAACTTGCTCCACCTCGCTCTTATTAGGTCGTCCCGAAAGTTTTGCGCACTTTTTTCAAAAATTCATAATTTCTGATTTTTCTAACCGATTTGACTGCTTTCACTTTTATGTGAAATGGTAAGTCATGCTCTTTATAATGACATCTCAGCTGCTTAATAATGGTCATCTGTTGCATAGATAGGAGCGATAGAAGAAAATCGGTCAAAATTTGAATTTTCTGTGTAGGGTCATAAAAAATCGGAGACTTGCAACAAAAATCGGAGCAATCCGTATTGTAGGTTCTTTCACCAGTTCTTTCTAACAGTGCAAAGTTTGCGCCGATTGAGCGTCTCTATGAAAAGTTGTGATTTCCCTAAAAAATGCCAAAATAAACCAAATTCGTCCTTTGGTATTGCTTGCTCGAAAATCATAACTTTTCATAGAGACTTTCAATCAGCGCAAACTTTGCACTGTCAGAAAGAGCTGGTGAAGGAACCTACAATACGGACTGCTCCGATTTTTGTTGCAAGTCTCCGATTTTTTATGACCCTACACAGAAAATTCAAATTTTGACCGATTTTCTTCTATCGCTCCTATCTAAGCAACAGATGACCACCACTAAGCAGCTGAGATGTCATTATAAAGATCATGACTTACTTTTTCACATAAAAGTGAAAGCAGTCAAATCGGTTGGAAAAATCAGAAATTGTGAATTTTTGAAAAAAGTGCGCAAAACTTTCGGAACGACCTATACAATGTGTTTGCTTTTATGGGTCACCGGAGCAAATGATTATTAGAGCCGGAAAGCAAAAAAGCCCTAACTTGCTTTATAACGTTCGAAAGCTGAGATCATGGAAAATCGACGTAGACCGTCGACTTTTTTCTAGGTCTTCTGTGCCGCGAGATATGAGGGATTTTATGTGCTTCAAAAATTAACTGATTTTGTGTCCTCACTTTCTGCTCTCCAAATGAACGCTACGAGAAAGTCGACGGTCTACGTTTGTTAAAGAAAACTTGCTCTTTAACAGAAATAGATAATCAGCAGTGATTAGATCATCATTTGGTAGAAATTTGCTGTTGAAAATGACCTTGTTTTCAGATAAAATGCGGTGTATCTCTCGGTAGAGGGGGGCTAGAAAGAAGTCGACGGTCTAGGTCGAATCCCCTTTTTCTGAGCTTTCGAACGGTGTATAGGTTGCTGGGCGAAAAAACAATCCAGTTTTTAAGAATGGGGTGGAGATATTTACTATTATAGTGTGGACTCCGGCCAGGTTCCCACAAGTACTTCCGCGGCGCACACGCAGCGCGCGCCCTTCTCAATGCGTCTCGCCTCACTCATGAGCAGTAGAGCGTATTTAGGTTTACAAAGGAGAAAAATGTAAAGTGTAAACCTCTAGGTTCGCTTCGAAAGAGACGTGTATTTAGGTTCACAAAGGAGAAAAATGTAAAGTGGAAACCTCTAGGTTCGCTTCGAAAGAGACGTATAAGAATGAAATGCAGGCAACCTCCATGAGCATCTCAAATTCAATCAATTGATTCACTGATTGAATTTGAGGTGTATATTCCGAAATATTGTAATATTCCGAACTTGCACTGATGGAAGGTTGTAATAAGCAAACGTAGAGAGATTAAAGAACAACAGCATTTTTAAAACATTTCTCTTCGTAGACGTAGAAACTAAAGTTGTCAAAGATTTCAAATAAAGTGGACATTTGAGTAAGCAAATGCCTATTGGCTTCTCGGAAGGCTCAATTTTGACTTGAGACACTGTTTACACCTTACACATCAAACCAAAAGGGACTCTTACTTCATACAGGAAGCTTTCGAAGGGATATTATCTTAATATCCAATCAAGTCTCACCCAGCTCCACCAATTTATTGGCTTTTATCGGTTACCGGAGCAAATGATTTTTAGAGCCGGGAAGCAAAGAAGCCCTAACCTGCTGTATACCATTCAAAAGCTGAGATCATGGAGAATCAACGTAGACAGTCGACTTTTTTCTAGGTCTTCTGTGCCGCGAGATGTGAGGGATTTTATGTACCCCAAAAATTTAACTGCTTTTCTGTCCTCACTTTCTGCTCTTTAAATGAATGCTACGAGGATAAATAAATAATATAAATAAACAAAAATAACATTTCTTTTGTAATTTTATGAGTGTACTTGTTGTTTGAGGCACTTAGCCTGCAAAACCTTTTGATAACAATTT